TCCAAATTGGGTTTTGTAGTAGTTGTTGTTGTTACTGGCAATGCAAAATCTAAAGGACCCCAAATGAATTCTCTTCCGAAAATAAATTAGTTACAAATAACTCAAAATAACGTTCAAACAGTTCACAGGAGAACATATTAATAGAGACTGTCTTTTAAGTCCTTGACTGCCAAATCTGGAACCCTGAGTGAGAAACAAACTGAGTTTTAAATGTGAAAATAAAATTAGAATCTGTCCACTCGATGCATTTTCATATATTTCAGACTGTGAGGCATGAATTCATGCATGACAATGTACAGTCTGAATTATGGATTTACTATTGCGCAGAGAAAAAGCGTCTTTGAATATTCCACAATTTATCCACTCAGATGGAAACCTATTATAAAATGATAAAAGCTTTAAAAACTTAACTGGTTAGTACCCATGTTTAACACCTGACCTGTCAGATGCCAAGGAAAAACTACTCTTTTTAAAAAATGGGAATGAAAACAATTCCCAGCGTTGCAATAAAATAGGTTTTGTTTTTAAAACAAGTTTGTGAATAATTACGGTTTTCGAAGCCTGGGTCAGAGCAGCTATTGCCTAATTCAGGGCATATTTTAACATACCAAACCTTGAAGGTGATTGTTGAGTAACGTTCAAGTCTATTTTACTTGTGGATTACTCCCAAAGAAAGACATCTGTTCCATTCCCCGTGGAAATATATTTAAGGATTATGTCTTACATTCACCTGAGGTTAAACATTTCTGATCATAATAAAATCTGCTTCTGCCTTGCCTTGATAATTGATCCTGTACTAAAATTGAAGAATAAAAAGATCTGAAATTGATATCCTCCTTTTTCTCTTCAGTGACATCAGCTAAAAGCTACCCATAATATTTTATTAAATTGTAAAAGTGGAATGAACATTTTAAGTGTTAGGCGCTGAAATGGTAACCATTTCAGTTCAATGGAGAGGTGCGATTTAGATTAAGCTCCGGGCAGTTAAAAAGGAATAAGGGATCCAGAATTGGCATGATAATAGTAATAAAAGAATGGCACCCGGTGTTATAAATTCTAGCCCAAAATGGAGGCACTTGTATCGATAATGATAAATTGATGGGTGTCAGTAAAATTGAGCCATTTCAAAGTATATGAAGCATTTCAACTCCCTCTTATTTCAGATTTGGCAAAAGAGTTCAAGTGACAGAAGAGCACTTTAGTTTTTACTAAACTTTCACCCCATCTTCAGAAATGAACAAAAAAATCCATTTGGTTTGATTTGATTTGGGCTAGGAAGTTAAGTTCGGCTTATAATTCATTAATTCAAATAACTGGTGGACTGGATCAAATGATTATCTGCTTCTATGCTGTCGGTGTTATGCTGCTAATCTGATTTTTTTTTATTTAGATGGTTATTTAAATTCCTAACATGTATTTTCCAGAGCCAAAATTTTTCACTTCGGTTTGACCTGTGCTCTACCTCTGTGCTTAGAAAATTTAAAAGATACTGTCTTTATTCAAACAAATAATGTTTATTTAAAAGGGTTTTAAAGGAACTCACAGTAATCACATTAACTGTCTCTTCAGTGGCTTTCTCTCCATGCTAGGAAATATCAGCCATTATGAGGAATTTTGTAGGGAATATACCCTAGAGCGTTCTGCAAGAAAAATGTATTATTTACTTCACTTACAACAGTAGAAAATGGGTTTAGTAGAGGGTGGAACCCCTGCTGCCCCCCCTCCCTTCCTGGATGCTAGGCTAAATAGACCATGATTTCATCTAGTGGAGTGAGAGTGGCTGACAATGGTTGTCAATCTTAGCAACTTTTAAGAGGAATGGACTTCAATTTCCAGAATCCCCAGCCAGCATGGAGAACTCTGGGAATTGAAGGACCACCTCTCTTAAAGTTGCCAAGTACAACATCACCTGTAGCTCCCAGTTTGCAATTTTTGCAGCCCCCCGAGTAGAGTTACTCATTGCAAACAATTTTGAGGGTTTTAGCTAGCTCCTTAGACTGTAAGTTGGGATACGACGATAAATCAGGCTTTAGGAACACCCCAGAAAAATCTCTTCATTATTACAAAGCTTAGCGATCTGGATTTTATTTTATTTTTTTGGAATGCTTGCAATATATCCCACTGGGATAAAAGTGAAAAAAGTCAAGATGAATCTACTATGCAAGAGATTCTTGCTTCGAGAATAATGAAGTTCTCCTGGGTTTCAGAGAAGGCAAACAAGCCAGAATTTCTGACATTTGCCTATGTAGGAATTTGTGAGAAAAGGGGTTTTCGTTCACTTAATTTCTGAACTTCTGCTTTCTGAACAATTAAAGGGAACTCATTTTGGAAAAGCTGTTGTGTTTAGGCCAATAGCAGCAAAGCCATGCATAATACTGCAGTGTCTGTAGACTACCCTGTCAATAACTTGGGTTTCTCTAAATAGCCCCATTTCGTTCTCTTACAGACCATCGTTGCCATCAACAAGGACCCTGAAGCGCCCATATTCCAAGTTGCAGACTACGGTATAGTAGCTGACCTGTTCAAGGTGAGTCTTGCTTCCAGAGGGATCAACCCAAACACATTCCTCTTCTTGATGTGAGGGGTGGAAGTCGAATTAGACTTCAAACCTGACATTTAGCCTTCCTTGTTCTGCATGGAAATTCTCACCTGTCTTGGGTTATAGCACTGGGTCTTCTAACCCTTAATATTTCAAGCCATAGAAAGCTTTATCCACCAAACCTATCAACTTTTGACCTCCAATTTTGATAGCAAGCCTACATAAAAACGCAACAATTGACTTCTTATGATCCTAACAATCCGTAGACTATATATTATTTTTCAAGAATATGATGATGTGTCTCGGGACTTAATGTGTGCCGGTGGTGCTCACGGTAAAAAAATGACCATAAAGATTATCTTGTCCGTTTGTTAAGACTGACCTGCTACGAAGCAAGAAACTTACTTGTATTTTATACCAAGTTATTGTGGGGGGGTCTTCGGTGCTTTCTGAGCTTGGTCGTATTTTGCAGACGTTTCATTCCCCCACTAGGGAACATCATCAATGCATCGCGCTGTCAAGATGGCAGCCGCAATGATGTGATGGCCGCTCCGCCCGATTCCATGCAACATGCAAAGAAAGTTGGGGGAGCTTTGGATGTACCATTGCGGCCGCCATCTTGTTGTTTCCCCCCCACCCACCCCCATTATGCCCTGTGGAGAGAAGACAGTCCGAACTCTGCCAGCAGTTAATGCTGTTCCTCTGTGATTTCCTGCCAGCTTGGCAGTAAACACCGGCCTTTTAATAAGCTGGAGACAAAGCGACATTCGGAAGAAACACGATGTAGACAATTTCCTTAATAAATTTTGTACGACCACATTATTTCCACTTAATGGAAATGTAGCTCTCTTAAATAATTGAGAGGCTATATTCATCAGACGGTGAGTTCAGCTGGGATCTCTCCAAGCGGCCGGCATCCTTACAGCGCCTGGAAGGATAAAAGGTGTAATGGATATTTTACACAAGCAGTTTGCGCAAGTGTTCAGGTGTAACCGGTAAGGAACATGCCACCTGCTCTCATCTTGACGCTCTTCGGATGACAAGAAGGGAATCACCTACTACCTGCCCAGGTGTTTAGCCTCGGCAGTTCCACCATCAGGGGCCATTCCTTGGCACCAATTTCTACAAATAAAGTGGCTTTTCCTCCCCAGTGGATCGCTTTCAAACGTTAAAAAAATCTTTGTCTAGAATAGCTTCCTCTGGTCCAAACAGTGAACTCAGAAACTGAAATATATCAGTATGTTAGTTGATGGGCGGTCCAGGCTTACACATTTTGTATGTTTTAAAAAAGGTGAGTTCAAATATTTAGTTGCTTCCAGTGTGGATATATAAGCATCTCTTTTACATGGATTAAAAGTTGGATAGAGGTCTATTGCCTATTGTTATTTGGCTGATAGGTATGCTTGTTGTTTTGTGTCGCTTCCAGGTTGTTCCCGAATTGACGGCAGCATTAAAAAAATGAAAGCTATTCCGTGTAAGGGAAGGGATGAGCATCTCTTCATACAGAGAGAGATATTATTTTTAAGCAGTTTAAATTATGTTTTATCAAACTAGAAATGTAAAAATTGCCAAAAAACAAAATGCCAATAATGACGATCTTGCAATGCACCAATTTCTGCCCTTTTCATTTGGCTTTGTAAATTCCTGAACTGTTTTTCTAATTCTCTAATAAACATACACCTGCTGTATTTTGTATTATATCAGGCTGTGGAAATTCCTTATATTATTCTACAGTGTGATTGTTAAAAGAGTTGATACTTTACCAAAGGGGGCCAGGGAAAACTGGAATGTCAAAGGATCCAAAATCAACCTACGAATGTTCTGTTTTTTTGGGGGGGGTCTACTACCAAGTTACCATTGGTAGTAGATTTATGCCCAGGTTTCTGAGTGTAACTGGAAGTAGACAGTTCTCCATGCTTATCTCAATTGGCAGGTACAATGTTCTGAACGCTTCCAACCGGTGGGTTCTGGGAATTAAACAGCTCTTATAATTTAAGTTACAAGTTACTCCATGTGGAAATGACTAGCTGGTAGCTTTTGAATTTAATACACACAAGAGTAATATGAGTGTCCCTGAGCATGTGGTGGAAATGGAAGAAAAAAAATCAATTCTAAATTAAAACTTTCATGTTTAAAATATTTTTCTTTAAAAAAAATACTTTTAAACAAAAGCTGCTGTATGATCAGCTCTTCCAGCTAGGAAACAAAATGAAAACACTGGTTTAGAATATTTCTTTTGTTAAAAAAAATATTTTAATTAAAATTGTATTTGTAAAATGCCCATTTTGGTTCTGTTTATCACGGAGGCAATAATTATTTTGTTTTTCCAAAATATTTCTTCCCCAAAGTTCATGCTAAAAATAAGAGAACACTTACTTTAAAATTCTTTTAAAGTATTTAAAGATGTCCTTGAGCAGCATCATTCAAAGTAATTCTTGAAAAACGGGGTGATTTTTTTTCCCCCCTCCCCAGGAAGGTTAAAAATAACTGTCCATACAAATGGGATTCATAATTGAGTCGTCACATACAAAGGGGACGTCGTAAGAAACCGTTAGGAGGGAGATGAGTTTTTATAGAAGATTGTCCGAAGTTCAGTAAAAAGGGTAGGATTTGTTGTGTTCACTTGGCTACCCAAAAACCCCCAGACACCTTAAGTAAGAATCTATACATATTTTGAGGTCATTTTTAACCACGTTCACCTCCCCTGCCCCCTAATTCTTTCCCTCGAGGGTGAGACCCAAAGAACTCCGGGTGGCAGAATTGGTCAATTTCTCTCTCTCTCTTTTTTTCTCGTGCTGGCGCTCGTAACTCATGCATTTTGAAAAACGAATTTCCACTTCTGAAATCCAAATTAAAACACCCACCTCGGAATGCTCTCCGAGGGTCCCATTTTAAAGCTTTTTAAGTGTGTGCCCCACACCCCTCGGCGAACCACCGTCTGAACCGCGCCACCCCAACCCAAGACTAGGAATCTGGGATGCTGTGGAACCTGGGTGGTTTGGACTCCAACGACGTGTACTTGTTGATCACCTGCGTCTTCTGCTGGAAGGGGAGGACTGGCTTTTTCTGAAAGACCCCAAAGTTCTCTTGGTTCTTTTTGTTGTAAATGTTGACGTGGCGCTCCAGTTCGGGGCTGGCGGTGGCCGACCCCGCCGGGCTTGGCAGCTTAAGGTTAACGGGGTCCAGGCCCTTTTGGGTTAGGCAGGAGTCTTCGGATAAGGAGGAGAGCAGTTCTTGGACGACGGCGTTGTGGACCCTGCGGTGGGGAGAGGAGGAGCTGACCTGAGCGCCTTGGGCTGCCTGGCAGGGCTGCTTCAAGGGGCAGTAATCGGAGGACTCCTCCCGCGTTGTGCTGCAGTCCGTGGAGGAGCCAAAGGTCTGGCTGCTGTCGCTCTGCGCTCGCGTGACCGAGCTGTCCGTGGATCGGGAGGCGCTGCCCGATGCGGCGCTGGTGGAGATCCCGTTGCTCTCCATCATCTTCATCGGCATTTCCAGCATGAAGAGGTCGGAGGAGACGTTGGGCTGGTGGACGTCGATGGCCGCGGTGGTAATGACGCAGAAGGCCCCCTCGGGGACACCGCTGTCTGTGGGCAAAGAGGTCAAAGGTTAAAAGACCGCCCCCCTAGCTTGGATCCAGAGAAGTGCCTGCCTAGCCATGAGGAGCCCTGAGCTCTGTCTGGAAAAAGGGTGGAGGATAAGCATTGTTTGAGGACAATGGAGGGGCCGGATTATTGGGGGCCAAGAGGCTGACTCTGTAAACCCCTTAGAGGGGGCTGTGAAGCACCGCGAAGCGGCATATAAGTCTTCAGTGCTTTTGCTATCTTCCTCCCTCCCTCCCCTCCCTTTCCTTCCCTTCTCCTTCCCTCTCTCCCTCCCTTTCCTTCCCTCTCTTTTTCCCCTTCCTTCCT